CAGTTCCCTCTTCCAGAGAAGGCCATGGCTTCTACACACTAACAGCGAGCCAAGGAAATCTAACAATTTTGGATCACAGAGTTGTTTTTCCATCTTTGGCTAGTAAGTACTGATACTTGTATACAAACCTATTCTGTGCTTTTTATGAATTAGTTCATAAACTGAAAAACTATAATTTTCTTAGAGAAAGGTCATATGCTCCAAATAACTTACTTCAAAAATTATTTCTTATTGCTAAGAGAAACACACATCAAAGCTACCTAAAAACAGCTGTTAGTAAGTAAACTTAAAATCTGTGAAGCATAATTTGTGAAGTATATCGCTCTAGGATTTTAAAATCATAAATCTAACACAAGTTATCTAATAAAATGATTGACAAATTAAGAAAATAAAATAGCATTCTTTTATCTTATATTTTAAAGATAATAGACTAGACAATAAAGCTAACAATATTTAGTCTATAAGAAAAAATACAAATGCATGAGTGTACTAAGAAAACTGAATATAAACATTGGGTACAGAAAACATTTCAAAAACATTTTATAATTATTTTAAAATAAGTGTTACTGCCATTTTTTTGCACAATAGAATATTTTCTGTAACCTAAATTTGGTTTTGCTCTTATCTTACCCATACATACAATGAGGTCAAAAGCAGTGAAATTTATTCATTATAAGTACTATTTCTTAAACAGAAATATTCAGTAGCAAGGGTAAAGATATTTTTATCTTGTAAATGTCCTGGATTATTCACAAGTCTGACGGCTTTCCTGTTCAGGGGAGAGGAACACCATATCAAAGTAAAGAAAGAAAGGAAATAGAGGGAGAGGGAAAAGAAGAGTAAGAACATATGCTCAAGAATGTGAACATGAAAGGACACGTATTTCTATAGGCATTTCTATTTTGTAATTTTTATCACAGATAAAAGAGAGAGCAAGAACGAACGATGATGTGCGCAGCAGCAAATATATAAGCAAGGATAACGTCAGCACTGGGAATTCTCATCACAGAATATGTTACCTGTTTTCCTTATTTTCCAAAGTTAACCTCCACCAAAAATTATCAGTAACAAAACTAACAAGTTGTTCTATTTAAGTACAAAGGAAATATACAGAATATTTATTGATTTTGTATTGCCAGAGGGCACATGTGCTCACCAAAGAGAGACAGG